TCCTTAGGAATTAGTTTTTAAAAGGATTGGGTGGATCAGAATAGGCTTTCTCCACATAATAAAACTCCTTTCCTGTTCTCAGGTGGGTGATGCTCTGAAACTCAATTGGCATTCAAAAGCAAAAGCCTACTACACAGATCCAACAATTCCAGTACCAGGATTTCAACAGAAGCTCCAAAAGCATATTCAGGAGAGGGCAAAACTCCTTTGCAGCTTCCTGTAGCAACAAGATGGTTCTTTCAAAAACTGAAAGAATTTCTACTTCCCATCAAATTAATCTTTTGGAATAATAGTTTCCATGAATTTATATTATTCCATCAGTTTCAGAGAATAGACACCAGAAATAAGAGTGCAAAGTGATTCACAGAAGATCAACAAAATCTACTCCTTAGAACAGACTAAGTTTCTAGATTTCAGAACTGCCTCATTATCCCTCAAATCCCTGGCACCAGGTCCTTTCATCTTTCACTATCAATATAGACAGCAAAGGAAGCTAATGATTGGAAAGACTTTATAGGTTTAACATTAGATTGGAAAGGCAAGATCATTTGCTAATTTTCAGTGCTGGCATGGTTCTTACATTCAAGACTACATTACTGAGGTAAGTGGAGAATTGTAATAATTATATATAGATATTTAATTTGACTATGCTGTGCTGTCTTTTGAATCTTCACTTCTCCATACCCGCCTCTACCACATTCACACTTCTGTTTCATATCTCAAGATATCTCATGTAAATTATTTTAGCCCAAATTTCTAATATAGATGCTTGTAGTTTTCATTTGGGGGGCGGGGTGTCAAAGCCTCAGTATGAACTTGAGGTACCAGGAAAATATCTCAGGCTTTAAGTATTCTGTGTACTCTCTGATTCTCTGATTTGCTGAATGGCTAGTGGCTGAATGACAGTTGGACAGGTAAAAGAATGTGGTGGCTTCAGATTTTTTTTTTTTTAATTTTTGGTTTGGTTTTGTTTGTTTTTGTCTTTATGTGTGGGCAAAATCAAAGTTAACACAATTGTGAGGATATTAAATGATTTTGAAAAGTTAGTAATATAAATAGTGGAAACAGAACAGTCAAAAGCCACAATTTACATCTCTTAGACATCCAGACTGCTTCAGAAATGACACCACTAGAGCTATTACTAGGTAATAGGAATATTGTGCAGGTATGGAGGTGGACTTTAATGAGAAGCCTTGGGGTACTCTTAAACTCCAAATGAGGCCACTGTGTACCCCCAAAAATGGTGACTTTTACTCCATGTACTTCAGAAGCCCTTAACCTATCTGGAATAATGAGTAAAATGCTTGAAGAGATATAAAAATCACCACACAATTTATCTATTTGTTAAAATATGGCTTTTGTTTAGGCTAATCTCAATAATAAAAAAAGTAATATCATTTCTAGAACTATGGAAGATTTCTCATGCATAGGCCCTTCCCTGAGAAGTAAGGTGGGCATTTAGTTTGATTTGTTTTATTGTATAGAACAAGGTGAATGGACCCAAGTTAGTCTTTTCTTCTCTTAAAACTGTGAATCAATAGATGGTTGTCCTGATGGAAAATAAATTTACTGAAGCAATAGTGAAGGTTAGCATGGCCAGATTCTAACTAGTTGCCTTTTAGGCTCTGTGGCTAACAGATTGAACACCAAGAGTGTTTTTTCCTTTCATTACTGAATGGGATTGCCACATTGGCATTTTCATTAGTCTGAAGGAGTTCTTGCTATCACCACAGAATATTCAAACAACCAGGATCCAGGCAGTCATGCTGAATAATGTTCTCTCAGATGTGTTATTGTGTATGGGAGAAAAGGAGATGTCATATTGCTTGGTTGTGGCCCCTTCAACAAGTAATAAAGTGGTAAAAGGAATCAGTAGGCAGAAGATGACTCAAGAGTAGTCAGTGTGACAAAAGCAATGGACAAACAAGATGATCATGGAGTCCAGCAGACACATTCCTAAATTAGTATAACTGCAGATGAAGATGAAGGTGCTGGTCTAACAGACTGAAACATTAGTCTGCTGAGCAACACTGCCAGGTCTCCACAGGGTAGCATTTTTATTGCAGTGTCTTTCACGGAATGAATAAAACTTTAAATAAATCACAATTACTTATTGCTTAGTATTTTGGATAATAAATTCTTTAGTTTTATCAGTACCTCACGGCCTTCAAATGTGCATTCTTCAAACAGTTTCAATTACATATACATTCTTTCTCCTCAACAATAAATTATTCTTAAAAAGAAGAAAAAAGAAAAGATACATAATTTTAAAGAAAAGAAAAACAAAAAAACCCATATATTTTGACATTTATCTTAAACTTATATGAAAACAACTCTCTCTCTATGTTAGATGCTTAAATATAAATAATAAAGGATATTATGTTATTTACAATGTTACACAATAAGTTGAGAGAGTAAAAACTGACATTAACTCATAAAGACAGTAAATGATTTAAGAAAACATCCAAGCAATGTACAATATATATTTACAAAAGAATATATAATAGAATTTGTGATATGTGGCCATTTCCCTTTGTCTGCATTTCTCTGCAGTGTTTCATGGGTTTTTGTGAGATTGAAATCTCTGCGGCTGGTGGAATGTAGCCAGTACTAAAAGATAAGACTAGGCCATCCTTATTTTCACTAATGTGAACCATGTATCTTTCAACCCCAGCCCCAAAAAGAAACAGTTAACTGAGCAAGTTACCCTGGATAAATTCCACCTATCTCAAGACAGTCACACTAAAACAAGCAAGAGAAAGTGTGCTGCTGTTGTGGAACACATTCACATACATCCCAGGCAAAGTGCCATTTTTTAGAAGGAAGGAGGCTGTCCAGGCACTCTTCAAAAAACCACAGCAACAACAACAAAAAAATGAAAGTCATACCAGCAAGAAGGGAGAGGGGAAAAGGAATTTCGAGTAATTAATGGATTTGCATATGTTATGCCCCACTGCATATCCCTCAATGGGCTTCTTATTTTGGGCCCAGAAAATGAAGCAAAGTTGCTCTCAAACTTCCAGGCAAATCCCAACATCGTAAAACCCAAGAAAACTTTCCATGTGCTGAGAGTGTGTGTTTACATTCCTTCTTTGGATTGCCAGTGCACTGCCTGAGTTTATAAACAGGGATGGTTGAGACTTATGTGGCAATTAAGTATCACAGATGTGTTCCTCAGAACATAAATCTGTGTAGCTGAGCAGTCAGTTGGCTTTGCTTGTCAACGGAAACTCTTATTCTACAGACAAAAAGGCTGTTCTGACTAACATGCCACTCTATATGTGACCAGAATCAAGTTGAAATAAAATTTCCTTTTGTCTTAAATTTTCATATGTACTTTCAATTTGTAAGTTGACAGCAATTTTCATAATGAGGACAATGTTCCTCATTGCTCTCAATAGAACATTCTATTTATTTCTGTAATTCTTCAGAAGGGGATATCTGAATACTCTAATGTCCAAAGAATTTGATATTGAAATTTGTGTTTTAATCAATGATAGGGATTATTATTTTTTTTATTTTAATGAAATGGCCAAAGGATGAAGCAAGGACTTTGAAGGCAGTATTTGAGTAATTTAGAGAAACTCTTTGGGCAGACTGTTCTCTTCTCCCTGCCATGAGCTTAACTCATTTGCACAGAATTGGGAAATCAGTGCAGTATGTGTGGTTTGGCAGGAGCTCTTCAGTGTAGGTTAACAAACAAGGAAACTGGAGTACAGAGATAGAGGCATATGAACAAAGAAGGAAACACTGGGATACCATGTACTCAGACTAACCTCAAGGACCTGCAGACAAGCATCGTTTTGGATCACAGAAACATACAGGAACTTAAAGATGTGAGTCATTCCCAGCCTGCATTTGTCTTCTAAGACCTATTTGCATGTCATTTCTTCTCTTTTACTTTTAGCTTAAATATTGGGTGAAGAAATAGATCCTATCTGTCTGCAAACAAGAAGCAGGTACTATCATTGACTTCATGCCTGGCATTTACCTCCTACCAATCTGCTTCCTGGATTGAGGAGACTATTTGAAACATAAGTAAAGCTCCCACCCTTATTTCACAGATACCGGGCTGGGCATAAAATGAGTCCTAATTTTTTAAAAGAATCTTTCTTATTTTCCTGATATTAGCACTTATTCAAATATTAATACCTATAGGCCTTCCTTGGATTTACAATCATAAGAGAACATGCAAAGTTGAGACCAATGTTAGACCTGCTTTGTGACAGTAAAGCAAAAATTAACAGTTTGGGAAAATGGTGACACAGGCTGTAAATGGAGAGGTCAGTACACAGGTGGTGGTCACTTCTGCAAGTAAAGGTGCAATCTTCCCAAACTTCCTGATGAACCATCACTCATGAGAGGTTCTTATAATCACAAACCACATGCACACTGGCCATTCCTGACAAAAATGTTCATGCACAGTTATGACTAATCAAGGCAACATTGAAAAACAAAGAGAAAAAATCATGGGAGAGAGGTGCAGTCAACAAAATGGTTTCAAATTTCAACCAAGTCATACAGCTGCTCTCCACCTGTGTCTTCTATGCATTCACTCCTTCACTCTACAAAAGAAATATTTCCCTAGGACTACAAGTCACCACTATGCACTGCAGGCACATTTCACTCTAGAACTATTTCAGACAAACTGCTGAATGTGCTGTTTGGGTCAGGCTTTCTGTGCCGTAGCATGCCTCTTCTTGAGCAGAGAAGACACAACTAATCTCTAGTTCCAAAACCAGTGAAAAATACAAGTCAGAAATGATTGCACCTTTATCAGCCATGGTTTGATCTTCATCTGAATGAGCTTCTGTATCAGGCCTGAGTCCACTTATCAGTTGTTGGATTTACCTGGTAGCAAACCAGGACCCATTTTCTAAGCTATGTGTTTATTTATCCCTAAAATGGTTGTATTTTGTCCAGAAAATAAAATCAAAATAAATTGTAGCTCCTTTTAGTAGAAGCAAACTCTCTTCTGATTAATAATATAGTTTTTTTTTAATCACAGTATTACTTTCTTCCTAATATTTAACATTACTTAATGCAGTTTCCTGCTGTAATTAATAGTAGCATGCTGTTAGATCTACTATTATCTCAGAGCCCAATGAAGCAAACCTTTGGCTGGCAGAGTAGACACAACTCATTTCATATACGGAAAGCAAAGAAAACTTCTTAAAAAAAGAGAAGAGTATTTGGATGGATGTGCCATTACAAGGCATACTGATTGGATGCTACTACAAGCAAACGGAGGGACAGTTACAAGTCTTGCAAATCATACATCCAGTCAACATCATAACGCGATGCACAAAAAGCCAGCAAAAACTGAATATGGGAGGTTTTGCTGAAATACTGTGGAAAAGCAATCACTGTAACTGTACAAAACTTGCTCTCAACATAACATAACATAAAGGCACCATTGATATCTTTCTCATTTTGAAATACTGTAAAAAATTGCTACATATGGCACATAACACATTTTTACATACATATATTTAATTTATAAAAGTTTTTTTTCCTGTTTTCTATTTGCAGAACTGCTAAAATAAAATAAATTGTTTAATTTAAGGTGGAATACTTTATTATATAAAATAAAGTTTTACAGGTGAATCTATGTGTTTATTTATGTTTTATACAGCAATAGGATCTTGGTTAGCAATTACACTAGACAGCCTGGCCTGCAATTCTTCCTGTGTAGAGAAGCGGCCTGCTGGGTTAGTCCTGCTCTCAGCCAGGCGGAAGGCAGGGGCTGCCTCGAGACTAGCTGCCAGGGGATTCTGTATGCCAAGGAAAGGTGTATCTTCACCTACTCTTTCATCTTCTGTTTCACTCTCTGAGTTACTGATCTCAGAGTTTGTGTTGCTGTCCATTTCCAACCTGTTGGCAATGTGGCCATTGGGCTTGGTTCTTTTGGCCCGCCGGCTATTGGCGAGTTTCTTAACAGGCTCTTGAGCTGGCTCGTACTCTTGGGTCGTTTCATACTCCTCATCCTCCACTATCCTCAAGGGGCTAGGGGGGAGGCTGTTACTCTCATGCACGGGATTGTTGTGGAAGGAGTTGAACTGCTGAGGGTGATGGTCATACTTTTTCTCCCGCAGCCGTGGTGGTGTCACCAGCAGTAGAGGTCTCTCTTCTTCCACGAAGGGGCTGACTGCCATGGAGGGCATGGAGACTGTCATGCTGGACACAGGTGGAGACATTTCCGAAGGGGGTGATTTGGGGGAGCTTGGCGTGTGGAAATCTACAGGTGACATACGAGCCGGGGTGGTCATTGCTGACACATACCTGTGTGAGCACAGAATACCCCACATAAGTGTGGTGGAATAAGAAGTATAGAGCAGGGAGGGTAGGGGACAGAGTTCATGATAATATATAATCAGAGAATAAAGAATTTCTACTCATGCTACACATCTCAATTTTTACACTAGGAAATTCAGTACCCTTGGAATCTAAAATTATGTTGCCAAGAGTTTCCTTACAGGAGTACATGCAAAGATCAGCTAAAATGCCTAGCTCATCAAAGTTTCTAGGATTTTCAAAATGGTCACAATTTAAAATTAAGGCCTGTGAGCAAAGACAGGGCACTAGGTCCTGGAAAGCTCTCAGTTTTTTAAGGGCCAAGGCTCAGGGATTTGGAAGGGAAAGAAGTATTACTTAAATACTATACCTTCCTAAAGGCCAAGGGGTCTTAGAGAATGAAGCCCAAATGGGGAATGGAAGAAGATCTAAGATGAGTTGCTGATAGCTGGATCTGCATGCATTTGGGTCTGTGGGCCTTGTTTCTCCTTAGCTCAGCTATAAGGTTATGTCTTATGAAAAAAAAAAAAAAGAGCATAGTAACTTAGACTTATTCCTGATAATACTGCAATACATTTGTGTGCTTTTCATTTTTCCACAAAATGTTACTTCTTAACATACAGTTTGCAACTACCATCCCAGTGTTCAGGCGTTCAGAGGTAAGCCTGAAAGAACCTTATGTTTGATTGGTTTCACCGCAGGGCAGTCTATGTCCAATTTCCCATTATGTCTCTTCTGAAACACTCAGCTGCATCAGTGTTTGGTTTATCTTTTGTGACTGTTCAAGAGTTCGAGGTACCATGTTTCCTTATACCATGTTCTGTCTGATAATGCTCAGTGAATTTCTCAAGACATTGAGTGCATTGTTTTAACCATATCATGCTTTTTTCCTCCAGAATAAGAAGACCTGACTTTTGGCACTGAGGAGGAAGTGGATTTTATAGTCACATTTCTCAGCTTTTGATAAAAATGTAGCCAATGCCTAGCACTAAATGACTCTTTTTCACATTAGCATTCACAAAGTCTAATTTGACATGACCTGTGATGACACAGGACACTATCATATGAACTCTAGCTAACAGGAACAAGAAACCTATTAATTTCCCTGCTTTTCAGCCATGATTCAGGGTGACAGGGATGTGAGATCTAGATGTAACTAAAATGGAAAAGTGTCTAGGAGATTGAAATATTTAGGGCTTGAGCCTTTAGACTTTTGCTTTGGGGGTACTTAAACTAAGCTCTCTGAGAAATGCTAATCCAAATTTAACCAAAATCTAACACTGATTCATCCTTGCTTTGCATGATCTCTCAGTTCAGGAATATTTTTCAGTCCCACATAACATTTGGGGTACCCAAGAAGGCCTGCCACAGCAGGGAAATGTCAACCTTTACAGATAAATATCACATCGAATGATGGAGGAAGAGTTTATCTCTAACCTTATTTTGACTCTTTAAAAAAAGATTGAATTAGAACCGTTGGACTTCCTCAATACCTAGAAGTATAATTACATGAATTTGAGACTAATTTTTCAAACCAGTTTTGGACCCTGTCTACTTCTTTCAAAAATGGATTACAATGTAACTTCCAATTCCATAAAGCTTTGAAACAACATTTTGGGAAAAGGCCCTTGAAGAAGTAATCAGTAGGCTTTATATATAAGCCAAGAACTGATCATCCTTTGTTTTAAGTACTTACTTCTCGATCTGAGTGAAAGATCTATCAAAATCATCTCTACCCAGGGAGCTACCAAATAAGTAAAGACTATTGGGCATTAAGTAAAATTTTACCAAGTAGATAAAGATTAGATTAAGGTGACAATAAAATAAAAATAAATAGATACCACCACCCCTTGACACAGACGCACATTGTATTTGAAAAGAAACAAGTAACAGCTTATTGATGGGGCTAGAAATTCTCGTGAGGTTTAACTCTCTCCCAGCTTTGGTGAAAATGGATAAAAAGAATCTATAACTCAATATTTCTATTTAGCATCTCTTTCAGTTTACATTCTTTTATTCTTTATTTTACCTTTGCTGTTAACTTCTCAATACAACCCAGTCTCCCCAGATGAAAGCCAAAACATTCTGGAGTAAAGGGGCATAGCAAAGGCAATATATGCTTTGAAAACCACCTGTAAAGATTGGCAGATGCAGCATACAACAGATTTGTTTATTTACCCCTTCTTGGAACTTCACAGAAGGGATACTATATGGTGGAACACAAGCAGTTGTTCCTCCATGAAAGTCAGCAATGCCATAGCCCTTGATTTGAGATAAATGAAGCTGGAAGGTAAGAAAGAGTTAGCACATGAGAGCATGAGGCCAGCTCGATCACTGAATCAGAGTTTGGATACCTGGCAAATTAGATTCTAGAAGGGTCCTTATAAATCATTGATTCCATCTCTCTAAGGTTACATCTGAGACCCAGAGTGGATATAAGCATAAGATCAGAGCTGGGAACTCCAAGATGGCTGCACCTTCCACATCAAATCATTCCAGCTCTTTAAGAGTCTGTTGCCTGTCAGCCACTGGGACGATGAGTGAAGCTCAGAAGAAATGAGTTCAGTCAAACAAAAAAGAAGATTTCATCAACTAGGAGCACTCTTAGAACAGGCAACTGTTGCCCCTTATTCTGATTACAGTAGATTTCCTTAGGTGAGACTGCAGGTGCTCACAGGGATTCTCTTACTGGGGTTCTCTTCCGCAGTAGCTTTGCCCTTCCGTTTTACCTTTCACTATGAGGAGAGTCTCGGTAGGAGTCAGGGGTTTCTCTTGCATGCCTGAGGAAGCTGTTATATTCTCGAGGGCCTCCCATGCCATTGAGACGTCCTCTTGGGCCCCCAGTTGGGCTGCTGTGCCTACTGTTTTCTACCGATGACATCATGAGTACAGAGTGACTTTCTGAAAGAATACTTTCAGTGTGTCCATTGCTCCAGCTGAGGAGGAAATGTGAGAGGCAAAGAGACTTTTTTAAATTATACGCACAAAGGAAAATGAAAGGAAATGATCTGACAAATATTATTATGAGTGTATCAGTAGCTCTCTGCAAGCTTACCTGTTTCAGAATAGAAATGCTATAAAGATATTTGGTATAGAAAGGATTTTGATTTGGACTAGCTCTGCATCTTGTTGTTGTTAGTTGCCATCCAGTAGATCCCAACTCATGATCATCCTATGTGTTCAGAGTAGAAACACTGCCTCAGTTTTCAAAGCTGTGACCTTTCAGAAGCAGATCACCAGGCCAGTATTCTGAGGCAGCTCTGGGTGCATTCGAACTGCCAACCTTTTGGCTAGTAGTTGAGCACTTAACTGTTGGTGTCACTCAAGATTTCTATTCATTTGTTCACTTATTCAACAAATATTCATCAAATGCCACTATGTAATCTTATTGATTTGATCTTCCCGAGTGGCTTAGGTTAAGGAAGCAATTTGTGCTATGGGCTATTTTGGAAGTGTACAGCTGCCCTTGAGTGTAGATCACCAGAGCGTTTGGGAGTTTCAGCTTTAGCTATTCAACCAACTCTCATGAGCATTTGCCAGGGCAATACAATCACTGCAAGTCAACTTCTAAGCATTGTATAGAATCAAAGACAGACTTTTCCCAATGTAGTAAAGCAAATCTAGACCAAGCCCACTGTCATCGAGTTGATTCCAACTCCTAGAGAACCCCATTGAGTTTCCAAGGCAGTAAATCTTTACAGAAGTAGACTGCCCTATCTTCCTCTGTGGAGCAGCTAGTGGGTTTGAACCCCCAGCCTTCTGCTTAGTAGTCAAATACTTGAGGCACTGTGCCACCAGAGCTCCTTAGTGAAACAAATCAACAAGTACCAAAGCCAATCTTCAGAATGAGGAATAACAATTCTGTGCGGTATGTATTATTATCCCCTTTCTTAATGATATAAAAATTGAGGCTCAAATTTACAGAGTAAGTAAGTAGCAAAGCCAGTTGATGGTCAAAGTCTGTTTTTGTCCAAAGATCATGCATTTTACTATAACTCACTGCCTCATAAGTGTCTTCTATTTAATTCTTAGATAGTGATAGCAAAAGGCAATGAGCACAAATTCATTATTGAAGATACGCCACAATATATTTTTTTTATTCTCATACCTGTGACTAGGAGTCTGAGTGACCGTAGTGGAATGATGAGCTGTTGAGGTATAGTGGCTGGTAGAAAAGGATGTCTCTGCTTCTCTCTCAACAATATGCTCACTGGAGATGACATTTTTAGACACATACTGCTGGATAAACAAAGAAACACAATTTGAAGACTCATGTAAATTTAAATATTAACACTGTCACACACAAAATAAGCTATTGTAGTATACATGCTTCATAAAAATCCCATTTTTCCAGTGGCCAGATGGCAAACCCTATCCTGGCTACCAAAGCAGTTAGGTTAGATGAATGGAGTTAATGATTTACCTGAATGTGCACAAAATGTAGGTACTGCAGTCATGGCAGCATTTTATCAGGAAAAGACTTATTTGCTCTACTTTGTTTCTAAAATAGTGATGATAACATGACTAGAATTTAATATAAATATCTGCCCAATATTCATTTTTTTTTTATTGTTGTTGCAAGTCAAAGAAAACTAACAGATATTTTAGTGAAACAAAAGCATAGAGATGATTTGTTTTATTTCAAATTTCAAGTCACTGGAAGAATTGAAACCAAACTCTAAATTTTTGCATCTACTTTTCTTTTTCAATTCCCCAGTGTCCATGTTGCCAGAATGATGTAACTAAACTTTTTAACTTGTTGCCAGTGTGAAAGTGGTACTGAGAGAATTGAAGAATTTATGGTGATTATCAAGGTCAGAAATCTTGACAAAGCACACAAAATCCAGAGAGTTTTATATCCAGTGCACACAAATTCTACTTCATTTTCAGCATCAACTCATAGTAGTTATTATGTTTTCATTGTATGAGGCCCACTTTGAAATTATGTTTTAATGCTGTTAGTATTTACACCAAAATGACTTAAGTAACAGGAAAACAAATGAGAAGGAAGGGAAAGATACTTTTAGATGAAACAGAGCACTTTATAGTCTGATAGTCTGTGGGCTCTAAAGAAACTCAAGAATATACAACTTAAATTTATGCCTGAAACTACCTGGTTCTCTTAATGGAAAGGCTATTCCTTGTGGCTCTTACTAGCAGTACAGCTAGCTTGCTTTAAGGAGAAGGTGATGAGCACACCATCAAATGTGTCATAGATAGTGATCTATTTTCTAGTTCATGTACCATTTGATTACTACTTCTTGATCAATAAAGTAAGTTCAGTGAATATAATGAAAATAATATTCAAAATTATCAAACTTAAATGCCATTGGGCTAAGTGTTTTATGTGGATTATCTAACTGAATGTTTATAGAACATCTGAAGAAAGTATTATTTTCAGGCTTGTTTTCATAATGAGGATCTAAGATTTGAAAGTCTAAAGTCCACAATCACAGAGCTTGAGCCACGACTGAAGTTCAAGGAGTAATTCTACGTCTCATAGATTATTACACACATCCAAAACCAAACCAAACTCACTGCCATCAAGTCTATTCTGACTCAGAGTGACCCTTACTGGGTTTCCAAGACTGTAAATCTTTACAGAAGCAGACTGCCTCATCTTTTCTCTGCAGAGCAGCTGGTGGGTTTGAATCACCAACCTTTTGGTTATCAACCAAACGTCCTAACCACTACACCACCAGAGCTCTGTTATTACACACATAGTGACAGATTATAGTTATATCTGTAGTAAATGCACTTACTAACTGTGTAGACCATTCCAATGAACACTATTAAAGAGCGGAAAGTGGCAAAGTATGCTAACATATCAGCATCTTACTCCAACAATCTGGAAGTCTTGCTACTATAACTGCTGGTGGTATAAAAACCACCAACTCTGGATTTAGGTCTATCATATATCTGCTTCATGCAAAGTACACTGTTTTTTATAGAATATAAAATGGTAGTGAAATATAATTTTCACATTTCATCTACAAAACCAAACATCAGTGTGAAATGCAAAAGCAAGAAGAAATATGATGAAATAGAAAGAGCAATACTCCAAAAGCCAGGAGATCTGAGTTTGGCTTCTACTTTGTACTAACTGGATGTGTGATTTCTGGACCACATCTGTTGAAAAAGGGAGGCTTGGAAGATGATATCTAACCATTCTCCAGCATCTACTACTCCATGATCTAGCTATATTCAAAAGCTAAGTGCTTAGCAAAGTATAAACAAAATATTTGAACCATTAAGGGTATTTTTCATTTTGAGGGTTTGGCCTCATGTAGAAAGAGCCAAGAAATAAGAAATCATCACATTCTTCTAGCTTTGCTACTGAGAATCATGTTTGACAAGTCATCTGACCTTGAATCAGTAAGTCAGCAGGCACTGTAAAACGTTCTATAAAAACAGATCTAAATTCTTTTACAAGTGTATTGGTATGTTCCATAAGAATGTCCAGGTATATAGTAAATCTGACAAGGCACAAGGTTATGATGACTTCTTGGCCACAGCCAGCTACCCAGAGGGAGTGAGTAGTTGGACCTGTGGACTCAGGACCATGGCCCCAGGGATGTCATGCTCAATTGGCATAACATACTACACAAAAAACACTGTTCCACATCCTACTTTGGTGATTAGCGACTGAGATCTTAAAAGCTTGCAAGCAGCCATCTAGATGCAACGATGGTTCTTTCCTCGTCTAGAGCAAAGGATGAAAAAAACCAAAGACATGTGGAAGCAATTAATCCAAGGGACTGGTGGACTATGCAATCCTCAGCCTATATGACCATGAGACTAGAAGAACTAGAATGGTGCCTGGCTACCACTGTCAGCCACTTGGGGGGGGGGGTATCTATTTGTGTAGGAGATCCTGGATAGAATGGGAGAACAATGTGGAACAAAACTCAAAATTATATTTTAAAATAAAGGACCAGGTTTGTTGGTCTGATAGAGCCTGGTGGAACATCTGACACTATCCCCCCTAGCTGCCCTTTGGGTCTGGAATTGAACTCACTTCTGTGGCTTCCAGCCAAATAAAAGACTGGCATATAGGCTGAACATTTACATCAGGTAGATACACTCCTTGGAGAGATCACTCATGGGAGAACAGATGAGAAGCGTATGCACAGGGAGACCACTCGAGGGGTAGGAGTGCATGGGAGGGAAGAACTCAAGGATGACAGTAACTATGGGGAGGAAGTAGGAAGAGACTATCACAATGTGGGGACTTGCAGTCAATGTTATGAGACAAAATGTGTATGAACTGCTGTATGGAAAATGAAATTGCTCTGTAAACTTTCTCCCAAATCACAATAAAAATGGAAAAAAAAGCTGTCTGTATTAATCAGTTATAGATTAATATCTATATATCCTTCATTTCCAAATTTTATATATATATATATTTCCAAATTATATATATACATATATATGTTTCCTTGTGGTTCTTGTATTATTAATTTTATTTTTTTCCTTTCTTCCACTCTCCTTCCCCCAATTGTGGCCTCCCTGCAAGACAAATCCAACATTATTATTCCAACCCTTTAATGAACACTTTATAAGAGGAAATGTGCTAGTTTTACAGTAACCAAATCCACTTTAAAAAATGTCCTCATTATTTTTTCCTGGAGAAACTTCAGATTCCTGGAAGCCATGGTGATTAATAGCAGAAGCTAAGAGCTTAAGAGCTTTAGAAAATAAACTTGAAGGTGCATGAACAGAGGAGAGATTCACAGTGTCTCCACTGGCCAGAGTCAACGTACATTCACCAGCTGAACGTTCTCGGGAGGAGGGTTAGGGTGGTGAGGCCCATTTGCCATGTTCACCATGTTGTTTCGCTCAGACCGAAGACTCTGACGAAGTCGGTCATGAAGCTTTTTCCGTTGTTTCCTGGATATGAAAAAGGGACCATTTACTTCTTTATTAAATTTACATTTCTTAGGACAGTCAAATCTTTCTTCTTTTGACACCTACAGGTAACTCAAGGCCAGGGGATTGGTGGTGAGGAAAAGAAAAGGGGGTGTGCCACTTCATCTCAGAATCTACCCAGGGACAGATGTAGAATGACACATCCTTTACAAATAGATTTAAGAAACTGTATGGTATTCTTACTAAAACTTGGCTGTACTGCTAAGGGCTAAGACAAAGAGAAAAGAACAGAAGTAAAGCTGGCATTTGGGTAAACTCCCAACTTTCCTATTAAATCCAACTTTGCTTAAGTTACACAGATGGTCATTTGCCTTAGAAAATCTGTGCTGTAGAATCAATAAGATTGGTTTAACCTATAGTTGTCCATGTGAATCTCTTAATAAAATAAAGTTCTGAAGCTGAGCATTCTACAGTTAGCATGCATTAGCATGTATACTGTGTATGTGTGTGAGGATATGTATATATTTTGTCAGTAGATTTTAGCACAACTTTAACATGATCTTACTCTAATAACACTTTTGTACAATTAAGCTATAATTATTAAAATATTAAGATTTAATCTTATAAGACTCAAGGTTGAGGCTATGTATGCTTATCTCTGTGACTCATGTAATTCTGGTAATACACTAAATCATAGGAGCTCTGGTAGCATAGTGCCTAAGGCACTTGACTGCTAACCAGAAGGCTGG